AACTAGGTAAAAGAAGCCATTCTTTGCCTCATTTCTTACCTAGCCTTAATCACTGAATGGGTGTTGCCTCAGACAAACAGAGACCCGGAAAAGACCTTAGCTTAAAAAGGCCAAGGTCCCCCACTCCATCCAGGACCATTTCCAGTCATCCTGATCTACATCTTGCCACTGGACCCAGATGGCTCCAGAGGAAAGAGTGAGGCTGGTGACTTTGCACAGCCCTATCTCACTTAAATCCAGTTCACTTGCAAGTCGTGACATCACCTTCCCGATGTCATGATCCTCTTTGATAATGAGAGACAAACAATAACAACAGTTTTCAGTCATGTCCAATTCTTCATGATCCTGTAGACCATACTGTCCATTGGGTTTTCTTGGCAAAGATACTAGAATGGTTTGCCATTTTCTTCTCCAGTGGATTAAGGCAGATAGAAGTTAAGTGACTTGCCAGGGTCACACAGTTAGTAAGTGTCTGAGACAGGATTTTAACTCAGGTCTTCTTGACTCCACGTCCAGTGCTCTATCCACTGAGCCATCTAGCTGCTTAAATAGAGCTTAGTTATAGCTAATGGCTAGGTCTCTCCAAAAACCATTAACAGATGTCCTTTCTAGAAGAGTTACTAAATATACAAAGTAGCAAATGTCAGGTATAGGGTAGCTATTCATTTCCTCTACCACAAAAGAAATACTTAAATACAAAAGGTTCATGAGAGCATATTGATAAATACTTAAAATATGAAGAATAACCTTTTCGTTGTTCAGTCATTTCAGTCGTGTCCAACTCTTTATGATCCTATTTGGGGTTTTCTTGGCAGAAATACTGCAGTGGTTTGCCATTTCCTTCTCCAGCTCATTTTATAGATGAGGAACTAAGACAAACAGGGGGAAGTGACTTGCCCAGGATCTCATAGCTAGTAAGTGTCTGAAGCCAAATTTAAACTCGGGAAGACGAGTGTTCCTGACTCCAGGCCCAGCACTCTATCCACTGAAATACCTCTCTGCCCTGAAGAATAACCTATCACTCCTATCATATTCTCCTGGGAGACAGGAAAGATTTCCAATATACTTATGGGACTAACGAACAGCTATTTCACATTCACCTAAGATATGAATTGTCTGAGCAGCAACACAACGTCCATACGTTCTGGCCAGCCAGGCTTGTTTAACTCACCATCCTCGCAGTGGTCATCTTCTTTAAGAAACGTGTAGCTACAGAAAGCACCTTCTACTGGCCAAGCAGCACATGGATCTCTCAGTGACTTTGGACCTCTTGAGTTCAGGAAGTAGCCACCAAAGTTAGGAATATACATCTCAAGATCGATGTTCAGTCACCTATGTTCAGAGAAAGGAATACAAAGCAGATGAGGCAGCTAGACACTGGAAAAGTAATCTCAGCCTCCTCTGGAAAAAGGAGGCATGAACACAAGGAGGATGAGGAGGATGAGGACAACGAGAAGGACGAGGAAATACAGCCCCCAAAGGATTCCTGCTACTACCAGAGTGATCTTGGCATGTTCGTGTAACTACCATAGCTGCTGCCAAGGAGGACAAAGGGCAGAAAAATCCCTTCCCTTCCACTAAAAATAGAAGGGTAAACTATAGAGAGATAGAGATATGGATAGGTATATAGATAGATATATAAAACACTCTCCAGTCTCAGACTGGATGACAACTCAATTTAAAATATTCTATATAACTTTAAGTCTTCAAATTTAGTTTGATTCACAATCCTCTCTCTGCCTAGAGTATTTGGCTCCCTCCCAGGCCCCAAAAATAAAAGGGTATTTGCCATACCCAAACTTTCCAAGCCAATTTAGAATTGGCCTACCTGGATGTTTTGCATCAAGTTCATTCATTAATCCTACAAGCCTTATAAGGCTCACTCTCAGTCAATCAGAAAGTCTCCTGATCATAGAGGCTTCTATGTCCCACCCACATTCCAAGGTAATCTCTTTGGGAACAGATTCTAAAATTACAGAATCCTTAATTTGGAAGGGATATCAGTGGTTTTTTAGTCCAAACAATATCTGAACAAAAATCTCTCCATTTAATGCAAGCAGTGACAGGAAGCTCACTAACCCACAAGGCAGTCCAACCTATTTCTATATATCTCTAATTATTAGGAAATTTTTCCTTGTGTTGAGTCAAAAATCTTTTTCTCCCTTCTTTGGTTTGCACCCAAACTGTCTTTAACCACGCCTCTCTCTTCAGATACAATTACACTCTGCCACCTTTTTAACAGGGTCTGCGCCTTTTGACCACTTGCAGATTATAATCTGATTATTGAAAACATTTGTTTAATTTTTTATTTATATAAAATTTAGATGAAAATTTGTGATTATTTAAAAAACATGTGCATGTTTTTAAAGATATTTTGGATAAGTAGCTTTCATTACTTCCATTTAGCATATTTTTTTCCCATTCAGGTCCATTTCATTTTAACAAAAGCCTTTTATTTTTATAATGTGTAATGAGGGTTGGATTGGAGCATATGTAACCATGTATCCCTCTCCCTGGAGCCAAAGGTATGAGTGCCCAGGGGTTCCTTAGGCAGGGCTCTCCTTCGCTACACATTTGTGACCCACCACCCAGGACTCCCACACTCAGGACTTACATGGACCAATTTAAATATCTATCTTGTTTCTGATGAGATCTTCCATACTTTCAGGAGTCCTATATTTATCAGCCCTCCACAACCCTTGATGTATTCTAGTTATTCCTGTGTGTTTGGGCAGCTCTACAACAAATCTTATTGAATTCTTTCTGTTTTCTGAGTGACAAAGGACACAACAGTAACCCTCCCTTCTGCCCAAAGGGAAGATGCTATGTGAAGAACTACCTAATACATTTACCATTTTCCCCATCACCTCAAAAGGAGGAGGAGGAGGAAAAGGAGGAGGTGGAGAAGAAGAAGAAGAAGAAATAGGAAGACGAGGAGAAGGGGACAAGGAGGAGGACGAGGAGGAAATACAGCCCCCAAAGGCTTCCTGCTACTACCAGAGTGATCTTGGCCAACCCACCTTTAGCTCCCTTCTCTTTAGCATACTCCAGTCAGAAATGGATTTTAGACAATAGTTTATTATGTAAGTGAACTTCACTTTAAAACAATAAAAATTTAATTAAGCCTATTTGTTGTTGTTCAGTCATTTTTCAGTTGTGTCCAACTCTTTGTGACCTCATTTGAGGTTTTGTTGGAAAAGATACTGGAATGGTTTTCCATTTCCTTCTCCAGCTCATTTTTACAGATAAGGAACTGAGGCAAACAGGTTAAGTGACTTGCCAAGGGTCACACAGCTAGTAAGTGTCTGAGGCTGAATTTGAACTCACAAAGATAAGTATTGCAGACTCTAGGCCTTGCACTCTATTCCTGGGCCACCTAGCTGCCCCAATTAAACTTATATTAACTATTAAATAAGTTTAAGGATCTTTAACATGAAGATACCATCAGCTGCTCTCTCCCACTGAGTGGCCTTCCCTGCATTCACAATGGTATTTGTGTATTTCCTTTTGTCTAATACTTGTCAATGTGGATACTGATCTATTTCATCTCCACAATATGCTCTGTGTACTGATCTTCCACTTCAGCTTTCTTTTGTATTATAGTTATCTGTGCACGCCTCTTATCCTCTGACAAGATTGTAAACTCCTAGAGGGCAGGCACAGGGTCTTAGCTAAACTTTGCATCTTCCCTAGCGTCCAGGATAGTTGTCTACCTGCAGTGGGCACTTATTAAACATTTATTGAACAATATGTGAACGAATAAGCAAATAAATGAATGAATGTCTTTCTCACCAGACTAGGCTCTCCCTAGAGGTAGACAGTGTATCTTTCTCACCAGACTGGGAGCTCCCAGAGGGTGGGGGCTGTATTTCTTCTTTCTTTTGTATTTTGCAAGCATTGAGGACAGCTTTCTGTGCAAAGGAGCTACGCAGCAAAGAATGAGGAATGAGTACAGACTGATTCACTGACTGATCAGTCTTGCTGTGATCTGAGTATGACACCCGAGAAAAGTTCTCTCCCTGACTCAGTTCTAGCCCTTAGAATGTGGAAGCCTGAGTCAGTCAGTCCCAGAAGACCTCACCCTCGTTTCTAATTCATTGTGTGACTTTTGACAAGTCACCTCCTTTCTCTGGGCCTCAGTTTCCAGTGAGAGAATTGGACTGGTTGTTGTCTAAGGTCCCTTCCACCTCTAAATTCTGTAACCCTATGCCTTGCCTAGGTCTCACTCTCATCTGTTTAAAAAGACAAAAGTGGATGTGGGTCTAGCTGCACTCAGAGATATCTTCTAGCTCTAACACTCACTGACTCTGCTATTTTCCCCTTGATCTCAAAGATATGATCACTAAGGGAGGATTAATTTCCCTGAGACCCCTGCTTTAGGGGACCCTGAGGTTTGTTTCAGGGAGGCAGTAGGTAGAATGGAAGGAAGAGGTTCCTATCTGGTATAAATACCAATACACACACACACACACACCATCATCATCATCATCGTCGTCATCGTCATCATCATCAGAGCAGAAACCATGTCCCCTTCTGATCTCTTCCCACTAAGGTCACTCCCTGCTTTGTGAGTTTCCCTCCCAGGTAGTTATGTTGCCCTAGACATGAACTACCACCCCCTACCAGGGACAGTCCTGCCCAAAGGTGGTGGACAATTAGGTCACCCATACAACTTCTTCCCACCAATAAGCATCTGAGTGACCAGATTGTTTTTGTTCTGTTGTGTCCAACTTTTTGTGACCGCATTTGGGGTTTTCTTGGCAGATACTGGAGTGGTTTGCCATTTCCTTCTCTTGCTCATTTTATAGATGAAGACACTGAGGCAAACAGAATTAAGTGACTTGTCCAGAATCACACAGCTAGTAAATGTCTAAGGCCAGATTTGAACTCAGGAAGATGAGTCTCCCTGACTTCAATTGTGCCACCTAGCTGACCAGATAGATATAAGTTGAACCTTGCCCACCATCCCTCCGTCCCATTCTGAATAACGAAAACCAAACTGAAGTTTGCAATAACCAGAAAGCCAGCTTTATTAGACACCCATAAGAGAAAGGGACTGGGTTGTACTCCAGGGAAAAGAGATTAAAGTGGGAATGCAATAAAGCAGCAGAGGTCCCCAGGCCCATAAGCCCTGGAGGCCAGCCCCTCTCCACCATCAGATCAGAAGGTAAGAATGGCTGACTGAGCCAGGAGGAAGGACAGGAGACTAGGCTTGCAGTCCAGCTGTGGCAGAGTGCACAGGTCAGTGCTTAGAGTGCTGGCTTTGGCTGTGGGTGGTGGTCACAGTCTGCTCCTTGAGAATGGGACGGGTCTGGCGGCCAGAGTGCCCTGGAATGAGGGAGAAGATAAAAAGTGAGAGGGGCTCATAAAGCCAGGGACTGAAGTGAGGGCTGGGGAGAGAAACGGTCATGCAGGACTCACTTCTCTCTGGCCAAATAAACAGGAGGAAAATTTCAAGTAAGCCTTCCTCAAAGGCTCAGAAAAATAGATTTAAACAAGCCCTTTTCACACACACCCCCAAGGGAGCAGTGCCCATCTGGGCCTTGGTTTTCTAAATAAAATGAGAGGGAAGGACTAGAAGAGGAAAGAGCATTAGACCAGTAGTCAGGAGAACTCAGTTTGAGTTCCAGCTCTGCCCCTTAGTCACTCTATCCCCAAAAGCACATCATTTCACCGCTGTGAGACTCAATTTCCTCTTCTGTAAAATGAAGACATTGGCCCAGAATCAGAAGTTCTTAACCTGAGGTCTATCAGCCTTTTTAAAAAATACTTTTTGATAATTGTATTTTGATATAACTGGTTTACTTTGATATCTTCCATATTTTATGCATTTAATAACTTTATTCTGAGGAGGGAATAGTAGGTTTCACCAGACTGCCCAAAAGGACTATAGCACAATTAGAGCTTAAGAATCGCTAGGACCTCTAAGGACCCTTCCAGCTCAGATATCCTATGAGTCAATGGGCTTTAAGAGGGAGATCCAAATGTGCAGACAAATCCCAGAGAACCTTACCTTCCTGAAAAGTGTATGAGGACTGGCCAGATGTATACTGAGTAGAAATACTGTAAGCAAAGGAAAAAAGATAACTGTTAGCACAAGGTATTAAGGGTGAAGGAAATGCAGGATAGGTGGGTGTTGGTCAGGGGGAGATCAAACTGAGAGGGACTTGACCACTCACTGGGCATCCTCTCCCTCCAGCAGGCGGCGGTAGGTGGCGATCTCCTGCTCCAGACGGGTCTTCACGTCCAGGAGGACCTTGTACTCCTGGTTCTGCTGTTCCATCTCACAGCGGAGCTGAGCCAGCTGCTCCTCCACTTGGCCAATGAGCTCCTGGATCTGGGACAGCTGTAGACAGTAGCGGCCTTTGGTTTCTTCCAGGTTGTTTTCCAAGGAGGCTTTCTGAGAGGGAGAGAGAGGAAAGAAGACAAGGAATTCAGCAACTGTGGGGTCACCCCTCCAGGGCGCCAGGGACCACATCACTGAGAGGGACCATAGGATTCTACTCCCAACTCAATTCTGCCACCAACTTGCTGTGTGTTCTAGAGCAAATGACTTCACTCCTCTACGCCTTGGTTTTTTTTCCCTATCTATAAAATGGAGCTAACAATACCTACCTACCTACTCCTTTGGTAGTGTTATGAAAATAAAATTAAATAAATGAAAAATATTTGTGAGGAGATGTTGTTGTTGCCATTGAGGGTGGTGGTGATGAAGATAGAAAAGTAATGTGATGATAGAAAGAAAAAAGAGAAGGAAAAGGAAGGAAAAAAGGAATCTAGAAGAATCAATGAATGAATAGATGGTTGATTGGATGAATGAATGAATGAAAAGGTATTTATCAAGCAATTATTACAAGAGTGCAGAATTTGCTATCAGAAGATCTAGATTTGAATCTCAGGTCTACTATTTACCACCTCAAACAAGACACCTCTTTAGAAGCTTGGGTAGTGGATTTAGACAAGATCTCTCCCATAAACCCCTTGGGGACAAGAATTGTTTTTGTTTTTGTCTTTCTACCCCCATTGCCTAGCAAAGTGCCTGCCACTTGATGAATGCTTATTGAATCGAGGTGAATTGCAATGAGGTCCCCCATCACCTCCAAAGACAGCTGTACCCATCTAAGTTTCAGTTTCCTTCTACACAAAGTTTGGGTCTGAGTGGAAACAGACGATGTCTTCAATGACCCATGATACCAGGAGACCTGGTTCACCCACCATGCTGAGCTGGGACTGTAGGTCGATCTCCAGTGTCTGAAGGGTTCGCCGCAGCTCAGAGATCTCGGTCTTGCTGCTCTGGACCAGTTCGCTGTTGGAGGCTACTTCCCGGTTGAGCTCCTCTGTCTAAAATAGGAAGAAAAGCCAGGATGTTTGAGAGGGGGCAGTCAGAAAGGTTTTCCAAAGAAGGCTCACTCTGTCTCTAGAGGGTTCAAGAAGTAGGGGCACCCACCTTGCTCAGGAACCAGGCCTCAGCATCTCTGCGGTTCTTCTCAGCTATTTGCTCATACTGGTCACGCATGTCAGACAGCACTTGGCTGAGGTTGATACCAGGGGCAGCATCCATCTCCACGGAGACATCACCACCGGTGTGACCCCGAAGAGCGTTCATCTCCTACAGAGGAAGAGACACTCGGTTATCTATGCACTCTGTCATGGAGAAGACCAGACTCCCCTTCTTGGCTGTTAACTGAACCTTCTCCCTATCCTCACAACTCACACACACACTGAAGCTGGTTCACCTAAAAGAAAGATTTTCCCTGAATTCCCCTCCCCCTAACCTTGGCCAGGGGTCAGAGGCCTCACCTCCTCATGGTTCTTCTTCAGGTAAACCAATTCCTCTTTCAAGTTCTCAATCTGCATTTCCAGGTCAGTCCTGGCCAGGGTCAACTCATCCAGTACCCTGCGCAGGCCATTGATGTCAGCCTCCACAGTCTGTCTCAGGGCCAGCTCATGCTCATATCTGGAATGGAGAAGATGGGAGAGGTAAGTGGCCACTCAGGACCCGCCCAGCTCCTTCTGTCCGCTGTCCTTCCCTGGGTTTTAGAAATGCAGGAGCAGCCATCTCTTACCACCCAACCAATGTTCTTCCAGAGAAGTTAACCTCCACTGGCCGCCATCTTTTACTCACTTGTTTCTGAAGTCATCAGCAGCCAGTCTAGCATTGTCTATCTGCAGCACAGTCTGGGCATTCTCAGTTGTAGCTGTTAAGATCTAGGTAGGGGAAAATAACCCAGCAAGGCACAGTCAGCCTCAAGATCCACCAGTCCCCTCTGCTGACCACCCATCCCCAAGTTCAGGAAAGACCTGTTCTTCTGGGGTCAGAAAGGGAAAGCCTCAGCCACACACTGAAAATTCAGGAAGAGTCAGGACACAATCTCCTCCAGATCAAGAAATGCTCACTTCTTCCCAAGCTCAAGGCTAAACTATTTCAGGAAAGCTAGAGATGTTCTGAGAGCCTAGATAAACACATTTCCTCCCCTTCCCACCTTTCTTGCACCTGAACATTTAAGAAGGATGAAAAGCAATATGTATAGTATACTGAACTTGGGGCCAAGAAGAACCAGGTTCAAATTCCCTCTCATTTTACAGATGAAAATTTGAGAAGTTAGGTGACTTTCCCAGGGTCATCTGTAAAATAAGAGACTTGCACTAGCTGGCCTCTAAGGTCCCTTCCAGCTCTAAATCTATGATCCTATGACTGGCAGAGACCTTCCCTCCCACTGGGAAAAGGTACAACTCACTAGTGCTCATAGGGGCTGGGTTATTTATTATCTCCTACTCGGAAGTATCAAGACAACATAATGAGACAAGAATTGGATACAGAGTGAGAAGACCTGGTTCAGATTTCAGTTCTGCCACTTTACTACCCAGGGCAAGTTACTTCATCTTTCTGGGCCTCAGTTTCCCCATCTGAAAAATAAGGGGGTTGTCCCAAGGGGTTACTGAGGTCTCTTCTACCTCTAAATTTATGGGCCTATCATCTCTTCTGGTCTCCTTTTTTTGTCCATTTATGTCCAGTTCTGCTCCAGATCCCAGAGGTGAGATTGGATGGGACAGGCAGGACTACTAGGTGAGGCCTACCTTGTTCTTGAGATCCTCAATGGTCCTGTAGTAGGGGCTGTAGTCCTTGGCCTCAGTTGGCCTCTGCCTCTGGTACCAGTCCCGGATCTTCACCTCCAGGTCAGTGTTGGCCTCCTCCAGGGCCCTCACCTTGTCCAGGTAGCTGGCCAGGCGGTCATTGAGGTTCTGCATGGTCACCTTCTCCCCACCAGCCAGGAGGCCATCCATACCACCATAGCCACCACCATAGCCACCACCAAAACCACCACCAAAGCCCCCACCAAAACCAGCTCCACTTCCGTAGCCTCCACCAAAGCCACTGCCTAGGGCCCCTCCAAAGCTGCTGCTGCTGCTGAAGCCCCCACCATAGCCTCCTCCCAGTCCACAGGCCCCACCAGAGGAGAAGCGGGAGGTTGTCACTGACATGCCCCCAAAGCCTGAGCCCCCATAGGCACTAGGAGCCCTGCAGGAGCCCCCACCGAGCAAGGAGACACGGCTGGAGCCCCCTCCAAGACCGTAAGAGCCCTTCATGGAGCTGGAAGAGGTGAACTGTCTGCTGCAGGAAGTCATAGTATCAAGAGTGTTCAGTGTTCAGAGAGACAGAGATAGCTCAGAGAAGGTGCTCAGAGAGGATCAGAAAGGATGAATAATGCTGCCTTGGGTCCCTACAGACTTTATATACCCAGCTGGGGAGGGTAGTGCCCAGGCCTCTTGCTGACTCCCCGCTCCCTTGAGGATTTCAACACCCCTGAGGTCTTAGGCAACTCCAAGCTCACAGATTATTCACCTCCTGGGTCTACTCCCAGGTTTGTCGTGTTTCCCACTCGGGAACTCCTACGAGCTAAGGGCAGCATTAAGACAGAGAGAGAGAAAGAAACATAAAGGTTAAGTTCTCCCTGACTCAGGCTCACAACTCTAGTTTTCCAAGGCCCCAGGCTGAGAAACAGGGAAACTGACATCCTCTGCCCAGACTCCATTGTGACAGATGGCGTCCTCTGGCTATGAGTCAGCTCCCATTAGTGCTCATTTCCCTGGCCCTTCAGTTTCAACTGGAGCTGATGTGAGCCCATGGGGAAGGACTGATAACTTCATCAGATTCCATCCTGGGGTTGTCTATCTGACTTTTCTGTTCCCCCAATGCCATCCCTCCACTGAAGCCCAGCAGTGGCTCCCTCTCCCCCATTGGATCCTGGCCATAATGACCCATTCACCAACCACCTATCCCATCTCACGCCCCCATCACAGAGTCTCCATTCTGGTCAAGATGATAGTTCCTATTCTGACTCCCATCCCTATATCCTCTCACAGGCCTCCATCCCATGTTGCCCAACCCCCCATTCTGCACAAAGTCCTCCCTACTCTTTGCCTATCCTTATCCATATCTTCTCTCCCCCGCCACCCCCGCCACCGTCCGCCACCAGACCCTGCTATTCTAGACTCCAAAACTATCAGAAGCCCTCCTGGATTAACCCCACCCCACTCTTCATCCATCCATATCCAAATCCCCTAGATCCTGCCATTCTGGGCTCAAAAACTGCACTCCACCAAGAAGCCCTCTTGAATTAACCATAAGCCACTCTGATGTCTCCTTTACTCTGATTCCCTATAATTAGAAAGAGCCTAAATGATCTCTAAGAACTCTTATAACTGTAAAAGGGGGGTGGGGTCCATGGATAGAGTTTAGGAGGTCCATGAATTTGAGTTTTTAAAAATATTTTGATCACTATATTTTGATATAATTGGTTAACTTTGTAATCCTATTTATTTTATCTTATGTATTTAAAAACATTTTTTCTGAGAAGGGAGCCATAGGCATTACCAAATTGCCCAAGGGGTCAAAGACACAAAAAAAGGTCAAGAATCCCTCCTCTAAAAAACAAAGTTTTATGAGGTTTCTAACCCATTACAGTCAGCTTAAGCTAAGAGGCATGTGCCCAGTGCTCCCTATTGTATATTGTCTTCCCTCACTAAAATGTAAGCTCCTGAAGGGCAAGGACTGTAACTTTTCAATTGGTTTTAGCCAGTGTTTAACATAATTGCTGGAACACAGTGAGTATTTAATAAATGCCCATTTCCTTCCTCCCTTCCAAGGCTATGATCTTGGTAATTTAGTGGGAAATGCACTTGACTAGAACTCCACACTGGACTGGAGCTTTGGGAAACCTGGGTTTCAATCCTAGAGCTGTCATTAATTTACTCAGTGACCCTGAGCAAGCCTCTTCCTTGGAATAGGGAAGGGGGAGAAACAGAGGGAGGAATGACTCAATTTCCTACTCTGTAAAATGAGATTAGACTCTATGATCTCCAAGGTCCTCCTTCTAGATCAAAGGTTCTGTAGTGTTTCTAAACTATTTTATTGTCTCCCCAATTATATTATAAATTCAAGGACTAAGTATCTCTTATATCTACCCCTTGTAGTGTGCCTAGTAACCCTTCCAATGTGCCTAGTACCCCTTCCCAGTGCCTAATTCGGAACCCTTTGTCACCCAAAAAAGCTATTCACTCCCATCAAGGTACTGACTGACAGCCCTGAGAGAAGGGAGGGTGGTGGGGTCCAGGTGAAAATGCTTCTGGTGAAAGTTGAAGTGCATGAACTGACCAAATAATCCTACTTTGGTATATTCATTGAGGGTCTGAGCAGGAGGGCAGGGCTAGGAGAGAGTACGATTCCACCTGAGCTCAGCACAGGAAAACTGCCAAGAAAGGCGCAGTTAGAAATTCCCCCATCTCAGCACTTCAGGGATTCAGGGCTTTGTTCCAACCAGATGAAGCTACTTGTAACTACCTGGGAAACGAGGAGTAATCAAGGCAATCCCCACCAGACATACAAACCCACAGGCTATCAGCCCATCATACTCATACTTATCCCTCCTAGAACTTACACCATGGTTATCAATGCTATACTGCTCGGCCAGTGGCTATAGCCACAGCTACTGAAGATTCCAAAAAGAATGTTCTTGTCACCAGTCCTTGGCACTATCAAGTGGTTCAACATCAGAAACTGATAGGATTTTATTGGTGGAAATGACCTTAACCAAGGGGCATTAAAATTTGCTTTCCCGCTGCACATCCTAAGGACTATAGGACTTTTCCCATCTTTACTTGTAGCCCAAACTTTCCACAAGTATTGTTTCTCCCATTAGAATGTGAGCTTCTTGAGAAAAGGGACTGTCTTCATTTTCTGTTTTGGGGTCTCCGATGACACTTAGCACAGTGCTTTGCACATAGTAAGCACATAATTAACACTTCATTCATTCATTCATTTATCCATTATAAGTTCTCCCCATTCTTCCCCAGTCCTTTTTCTCTATCCTCTGCAATCCCTTTCTCCCTTCCTCCCATTTCTTCCTCCTTTCCTCTCTTGATTTTGGCATGTCAATGAGCCCCAGAGCACTGATACCCTAATTTGTGGACAATAGCATCCCCTGTAGAACCTGCCTTCCTTCCTTCTTCTAGGGTATAAATTCAACCTCAGCTGAATTAATGAGGTTATCTGCCTTTTCAAAATCCAGACAACCCCAGGAATGATCTAGAGGGGGTAAGATGCCTTATTTTGATTGTTACACCTTTATCCTCCCAATCAGACTCAAAATCTCTGTTATCTTTGATTCTTCCCTCTACATCCAAACAGATGCCAAGATCTATCAAGTTTGCCTCCATATTATCTCTAGAACTGTTTCTTCCCCTCAAGTTCAAATCCAGCCTAAGACACTTACCCGCTGGGTGACCCTAGACACATCACTTAACCTCTGTCTGCCTCAGTTTCCTCAACTGTAAAGTAGAGATAATAATAGCACCTACTTCTCAGGGTTGTTGGGAGGATCAAATGAGATAGTATTTGTAAAGTGCTTAGCACAGTGCCTGGTATGCAGTGGGTGCTTAATAAATGCTTGTTCCTTTTTCTTCTTGTATGAGGCCACCACACTAGTTCAGGGACCCATCACCTCTGTCCTGTATTATTATAATAGCCTCCTGGGAGGGTAACCTGTCTTCAGCCTCTGGATGATGAGAGCAGGCAACCAAACCCTACTGACTGATATCCACACAGACAAGAATAGAATTTCTAGGTATTCCAGACCTTGAGACATCTAGGTGGTACAATGGATAGAGTGCTGGACATAGAGTCAGAAAGACCCGAGTTCAAATCCTGCCTAATATGCTTACTAGCTGTGTGACCCTAGGCAGTCACTTAACTTCTGTTTGCTTCATATTCATTATCTACAAAATGATAGAGTTAGACTAAATGGTCTCTAAGATCCCTTCCAGCTCTAAATAAATCTATTACTGGCAGCTAGATGATATAGTGGATAGAGTGCCGGACTTAGAGCCAGGAAGACCTGAGTTCAAATCCTGTCTCAGACCTTACTAGTTGTGTGACCCTGGGCAAACGACTTAACCTTTGTCTACCTCAGTTTCCTCATCTGTTAAATAGGGATAGCTAATAGTACCTACTTTGCAGAGTTCTTGTGAGTATGTATCAAATGGGATAATATCTGTCAAATACTTTGTAAACCTTAAAGCATTATGTAATGTCATCCATTATTATGATCCACCCTTCACAGAGCTTCCAAAATCATCTAACCATGTAATTCCCTTGCTCTAAAACCTTCAGTAGCTCCCTATTACCTTCAAGATAAAATAAAAACTACTCTGCCTGCAGAATCTGGATTCGGTCTCACTTTTCAGCTTTCTTTCATGCTATTCTTTTATTCCAACCCACCCTGCCCTCTGCTCTCTCCACCCTTCATGCTGCCATGTCTAAAACACTGCCTTCTTTTCTCTGCCTGCTAAAATCCTCTTTCCTTAAGATGCAGCTCAGGTGGTGCCTGTTCTGTGAAGCCTTCCCTCATCCTGCAACCTCAAGATGAAAACTGCCGTCACCCTAACCCAAACCTTCTTACGGTCCTTTCTTGACTCTCCTCTTTCCCCCTGTCACATTCTACTAAATATTGCATTTATTTGGGTATCTGCTGTATCTCCCTACTGCATGATAAACCCCTTCATGGAAAGGACCATTTGGTTGTTCATATTTGTATCTCCATGGCTTAACATGGTACCTTCTCCATAATAGTGCTTCATCAATGTAGGTGGAATTTAACTGAATGGAATTAACTGAACTGAATTGAATTGAAGAAGGTGGAGCTGTGTGGGAGGCAGAGATACAGAGGTGCAGACTTCTGACCTTGGCCAAGAGAAGGATACAGGGCTGGAGAAAAGGACTTTAGTTCTGATAGAAGAAGTCTTGGTCATTGGCTCCCTCACTGGGGCTGCTCACCACCCAATGAGTCAATGAGAAGAGAGGATACTAACTCCATAGGACAAGAGTAAGAGAGAAATCACTGGCTGTTCCCAGAAGTTACTAAAAGGAAGACACAGAATGTACAATTACTCCCCTGCCCTGCCAAGCCACATCTGCCACTGTGTCTCATGTCTTAATGAGGAAGGAGATGGGCAGCAGAGGCTCCTTCAGACCCACAGGTCTCTATGGCCAATGCCATCCTTTTGAATCAAAGTGATTGCCCCAGACAGCCCCCTTGCGAAGCTCCTGGCCTGTAGCTGAGGAGTAATTCAGGAAGGAAACTAGTTGGGGAGGAGGGGGCAGCAGGAATGACTCCACCAGTTAATGCTACAAAGGCCTTTAGCCTGATATG